CAGAGATCCAGGAACACACCTTCATACCGACAAAGAAAGAAGAAGTCAGCGCCCATGTGCTTGCCCTGATCACTTTCACCAACACAACCTCCATGGTCAAGTCATGGCTGCATACTACTATATATATATATATATTAGGTATACATAGCCATAGCAACAGCAAACCATGCAACTGCTATGGGGCCCAGCGGTACTGGGGGGGCCCAACACTGTCTACCTACATGATGTTCTTCTAAAGAAAACCGTTGCAGGCCTCTCTTGTGGTCTCCTCAGAGAAGACTTCTCTTATCCTAACCTCCGACCCGTTCCGATTTTCTGCCGTGTTGGTCTTCTCCAGGCCTCGGTGGTTCCCTATCGGAGATACAAAGTAGACACGTATGAAACATGTATGATGGCTGCCATTTCCCAGGTGTGCGGGAGGGCACGGACGCAGGAGTGGCTGGTTAATCATTACATCTCCTTCTATTGTAATATCGCCAAAGTTACCTCATTCCGTACAGCCCGTAGAGTGGAGATAACAGTTATTGCCTTGCCTGTGATTGTGGAAAACCTCGGGAGGCCGACGCGCGGAGACGCAAATGGATCTGTTTGTAAACTATTACGGGACTGTCGTCGATCCTTCAAAGCTTAAACAAAGAAGGCTACAAAGATATTCAGTTATGGAATTCACAAGTAGTGGACTATATGGCCAAAAAAATTTGAGAACCTGACTATCCCACCTACAGTATACGAGCTTGTTGGACATGCCATTCCAAGACCATGGCCATTAATAAGTGGTTGGCTCCCTCCTCCCATGACCATTTATATGGAGTTGGCAACTTCCATCCATGGCCATCAATATGGAGTTGGCTTCCTGCCCCAATGGCCATCAATATGGAGTTGCCACCTTCTATCCATGGCCATTAATATAGAGTTGGCTCCCCCCCCATGGCCATTTATATGAAGTTGGCACCTTCCATCCATTGTCAATAATATGGAGTTGGCTCCCTCCCCTCATGACCATTTATATGGATTTGGCACCTTCTATCCATGACCATTAATATGGAGTTGGCTTTAGGGGCTTCCACAGGCGTGTTGTCACCCGGAGCGGCCGCAAGGGTGACATCCCTTTGCAAAACCATCACGCATGTGGGTGACGTCACACACACTTACCTGCCAGCAGCCATCTAGATGATGGACGCTGGCAAAGAGAGGAGGGGACAGTCACCCGGCAGGGTAAGGTATGCCGCCGGGTCCCCTCCTCTCTCTCGAGTCTGTGATTTTGGTATCACCCCCTTTGATGGTGTCACCCGGTGTGAGCCTCCCCCCATGGCATTTAATATAGAGTTAGTCCTCCTTTGTGGCTATAACAGCCTCCAGTCTTCTGGAAAGACTTTCCACATGATTTTGGAGGGTGTCTTTCGGAATGTGTGCCCATTTGTGAGGTCAGGTACTGATGCTGGATGAGAAGACCTATATGAGCTTACTGGACATCCAATTCTGGAATCATGTACAACAATATGCTCTAAAACCCTTCTTGGCTCTACAACAGCCTCTTCTTGGATGACATCTGTTGGAATTTGTTCCCATTCAGCCAGAAGAGCATTTGTGAGGTCAGAAACCGATGTTGGAGGCGAAGACACGGCTCACACTTAACATTCCAATTCTTCCCAAAGGTGTTCAGTAGGGTTGAGGTCAGGGCTCTGTGCAGGATATTCAAGTTCCTCCACACCAAACTGGTCAAACTGGTCAAACCATGTGTTTATGGAGCTGGTTTAGTATGCAGGGGCAGTTTCCAAATATAACATTTTCTGCTCTTCTGGGAAGACTTTCTACAAGGTCAGGCACTGATGTTGGATGAGGAGACCCAGCTCACAATTGGTGTTCCAATTCATCCCAAAGGTGTTCCGTAGGGTTGAGGTCAGGGTTCTGTGCAGGACACTTGAGTTGCTCCTCACCCAACTGGTCACACCATGTCTTTATGGAGTTGGCTTTCTACACAGGGCACAGTCATGTTCAGTAGGGTTGAGGCCAGGGCTCTGTGCAGGGCACCCGGGTTCCTCCACACCAAGCTGGCCACACCATGTCTTCATGGAGCTGGATTTCAGAATCTGAACTCCATAATTTGAAGGCATGGTGCTTTTGTGTAACCATATAGTAAGTACCAGATGAATGTTGTTATGGTCAGGGAAGTTTTTCCAATCTATGGTCTAATGGCTGCCATGGAAGCCCTTCTAATGGCCACTATTTTGTGGGCCCGGGACTGCTTCAAAGGGTTCCTACAGGATTGGCTGACCTGTCAATGGGGACCAACAAGACCAACAAGAGTTCCAATTGGAAGAGTGTCCTAGTACTGTCAGCAATGGAAACGGGCCGAGTTTCAAATGTTCTTCCACCTTTTGCTCCTGCTGTACCGTCCCAGGATTGGAGCTCTGCACAGTCCAGGGAATATTCTAGCGTGTTAGTAAATACGTGTGATTCCATGGAATCATTTACCAGCAAGAACATGACCGGGGCAGATAAGAAGGTGATAGGAGGATGTGTCAGAAAGATAATATGGGAAGCAGCTCCTAGAAGAACTTGCAGTCACAGGTGTCATCAGTGCACGGGCAACTGGGAATGTTCAGGTGGTTCCATACTGCAGTTGTTGAGTGTAGAGGGTATGACAGGGGGCAGTATGTACAGGAGAGGA